TTGTCGCTGCCTCTGGCTGTTGTAGCCTCTCCAGGAACTGCAGGGTCTGTTTCTGAAAGGGTCTTGCACCAAACAAGCATGCGACAGGAACTATGACTCCAACATGCTTATATCTGGTGGGTTTGGTTTTCTTTCAGGATGAACTTGAGCGGATGGGTTTTCCCTATAGCGACTGCACCATGAACGGATCCGATGTCCCCGTAAAAAATCTTTATAATGAGTATAATACCACTTACTCCATACAGGTAAAGGGATTATTCATTCAAATCAGGGATTTCTTAAAAGAATCTTTTAAGCAGTTTACATGCTTAATGGATATGAACTGTTCTAGAGAGTAAGAAAGTTAAACATCATGGGTCAAAAGCTCTAAACCAGAGCTGGGTGAAATATGGCCCACAGGCCGCATCTGGCCCACCAAGCCACCGGATCTGGCCTGCGGACGCAGCAGGGAGCCCCAGGCAGGGTCCCCGCTTGCCTTACGTGATGACACGTGTGGAGCCTCTTCTCTTTCACAACCGTGAGCGCGTATGGGTGGTGGAGGGCTCATGCGCTGCCCCTGCTCCCAGCACAATCCCATTGGCCGGTTTCTGGCCAATGGGAGGTGCCTATTTGAAAAGCACCATGCCCCTTCCCTCCAACTCATAATTATTCAAACATGCACATGGCCCCTGCAGCCTGTGTAGGGGCGGGGCAGGCAGGGAGCCGCCTCAAACATGCTGGGCTGCGAGTCACCCAGATACTCCAGCTCCTCCCTCCCCCAACCCTCTGCCCCTTTGCCCCACATAACCCAAACCCTCTGCCCACTCCTGCAACATCCCCCTCCCAGAACCTGCACCCAAATTCTCTGCCCCAGGTCCCAACCCCCTCTGGCCCTAGGTCCCAACCCAAACCTCTGCCTCACTCCTGTACCCCAATCCCCTGCCCCAGGTCACAACTGCCCCCTTCACTCAAACTGCCTCCCAGACCCCTTACCTCCTCCATAGACGTGCAGCCTTTGACCACTTGCAAAATCTTGGAGTGCCCACTCCTGCTCTAAAATAACCATTAAGCCTGTACTAAGCAAAAGAAACACTTTAAAAACACAAATGAGACCACTCATCTTGCAAATACTTATGCTTGGCAGTAATGTCATGCATGTGAATGTTTCCATTGAGTTCACTTGGAAAATGGGCGTGTATAATTGGCAGGATCAAAGCCCAATGACTTAGCTGTTCAAAGGTATATTAAGCCACTAAGAATTTTTAAATGGCTTAGACAGAGAACACAGTTTATTATAATTCTCTAAAAATCTCGCTACACAAACTGCTGAGCAGAGTGAACGCTAAGTGAAAATGGGTCATTTCACTCCACCCAGCCGGAAGCTTCATTTTGTTTTGTTTTGGTTCGGGCATCTCTGTAGCTTTCTGCAAAGCGGTAGCATAGCAAGTTTCCCTTGCAACAAGCCTTATGGTTGCACAGAATTCCAGGAGGTGAAACTTGCAAACAAAGCAGCGATTTGTAAATTGAAAAGGCAACATG